CCCCACTGAGAGCTGATGTGTGGTGAGTGTTCTGGCGCACTATGGCTGCCGTCACATCATCCAGGTGGGGCTGCACACTGGCAGTGGTGCAGGGGAGTCCCCATTACCTGTAAAGCACTTTGAGTGGAGTGTCCAAAAAAGCACTATATACTGTGTAAGGAATTATTAATTATTATTCTCGATATTATCTGACTCCCAAAGCTTATCCACCAAAGTATTCAGAGCAATTTTAATAACTGATAACTGAAGTCTCAGCTGTATATACAGTACTGTAACCGTGGTCTGAGGCCATGTATCATGACATTCAGTATATTTTCTCCTCCCCTGTACTCCCAATGAGCCTGGGAGCTGCTCTGTCAGTGCTAGCAAAAGCAGATGCCCCAGTTCCAAAGATATTCTGCCAACCTTGTAGGTACCTGAATTTAACAACGGTTTCTGTCACTGGTTGTCAGCTAGTGTTTTCTATTACTTAATCTTATTTTCCATGCCCATCTTTCTCTGTCAAGTCCAGACAGCATTGCCGCATTTGTGTTGTTCCAGTGGGTTTACTTGTCTCTGCTCTGAGAGATGCGTCTGCAGAAAAGCACAATCCCGCCCCACGCACACACAAACACACTGCTCTTTTTAGGATTGCATAGCCTGCAAACCTTTCAGGGTTCAGTCTTCACAGCTACTGTAGTTTGTATTCCTCAAAACACAACCCACACAGATTCCTTCCCTCTTTGGAAAAAAAGCACATAACCAAAAAAACATGCTAAATGAAAAATCACAAGATGGCATGATGTGCTTTTGTTTGCTGAGACCCTGGACAATGCCTACTTCAGCTGCATAATCTTTAGAAAAACAGCGTATTAGATTGTTCAACATGCATTTATGCTTATCACTTCCAAAAGTAAACTGCTACCCTGGCAGATTAATTTTCTTAAGTGAAACTGCAAGTTGGATCAATTTACAAAGAACACGGCCAGATAACGCAAAATGATAAGGTCGTGCATACTATACAATATATTATTGCTAATGTATTTTGCTGGTGCTTTAAGCCAAAGCCTTTTTAAATTCAGATACATTTATACAGCTGGATATTTTACTGGAGCAATATGAGTGAAGTTCTTTGCTTAAACGTACAGCACCTGTGTCCCACACTGGGATCCGAACCCACAAATACAACCAGTTGCGAGTCATGACTGCTCTTTCACTCACCAGTCATACTGCACATACACAACATGGGAACGCCGCTGACTTTTCTCTTTCTCACACCCGAAGAAGGCTCCACAGCCGAAACGCTGTGTTTCTTTTCTTCTCAGTTCAGCCTGGAATAAACCTTTACTTGCTCCTCTGCAGCCCATGCATGCTGACGCAGCTCCCTACTTGAACGACGATATGGGCATGTCAGTCTTCTCTAGCCTTCTATCCCTGACACTGCATGCAAGTTACTGCTCATTTTAAAGCAACAATTGCAATAATAACAGACAGGATCAACTATGCTGTAATGACGTTACTGGCATCAACCTTGAAATTATTCCTCATTATAACTGCTGCATGAGCACACACTGCAGACATACTGTACTTCCCAGCATGAGCCAGCTGTTGCAGGCTGGTAAGAGGGGGTCATATCTAACAGGGGAGGGCTGCCTTCTGTCAGTAGGACATGCAGACCTCTAGATCTCTAGCCTACAATCCTTCACACTAGTAACAACACCCAAGAACCAGCCTACTGAAAGGTTTATGGAGTGTTTTATTCATAATAAAACGGGGCGTATCCCGCCTGACTGTGGGTTAACCTTCGAGACATACTGCAGGAGGAGGAGGCTGGGACCCCCATTCAGAGAGAGGAGTGACCAAGGGGCAGCTGCAAAGGAGGAGAAGGGGTGCAAAAAGACACATGCAAGGGAGAGAAGGGGGAGTATGTACGGTATTTAGGACATTTTAGGTGAGGGAAAGACAGCAGGAGTGATAAGTGATTTCTGACAGCTGATCTTGGCAGTTGTCATCTCCCACACGTTTTCATCATAAACTCCATTAAAAAGACCAGCTAAAACCTAGCAACAAGGTTTCATTAAAATACACCTCCTATACAAAAAAGACATAGTGAGCAAGACCTATACTTATACTTATTGTAAGAGTGTCTGTGTGTATGTTTAAGATATATGTCTAGAGTACAGTGCTCATGTTTCAACGCAGGGATAATTATTGTTTGAAACACCAATAAGCACCATCCAAAAAGGCCTTGATCCTAAAATCCCTGGACTACTGTAGTGGACTGAGAATATTTCTAGGTTTAATCTGGACGAGCTTGGGGAAAATAGCGGCAATGCCGCTCTCCAGGAAGGGACAAAGGCTATTTCTGTTCCATTGTTCAGGGCGGAAGAATAGTAAAATGCTGTTGCTATTGTTAGAACAGATTCATTCAAAAGAACATACTAACCCATAAAACAAGAAAAGCAGTGACAAAGGACAAAGTTGCAGTGCGTCCCTAGGTACTGTTCATGCTAAAATTAACTTGGCAAGTCTGCACACTACATTGAGATAAACCTACACCAGCAGGAGTGGTTAAATGTGCACTGGGATTTCCAAGATGACACAAGGATCGCTATTTTAATAGAGGCACTGGGAAAATCCTTCATCTTTTACTACATCACTGTCAGAAACAAAAAAAAAAACAATATACAGTGTTTAAAGTGGGATAAACAATAGAAAAATTATGAAAAGCAAGGAAAATAAGCTCAAACTAATCCTCAACATCTAGATATCTCCCACATGAAGTAAGACTAAATCTTAAAGATCCTTAAAACTAAACAACTTTCAAACAGCTCAGTTTCTACTGCTGCGTAAACGTGAGATTGCAATGTTTTCATACAGTATGTAGACTAAAAACTACCGATACAGTATGTTTTGGATCAGGACAGTCTAAAGGCCATACTCCTTATATCAATTTATTCCTTCTAACCATGAACATTTCCCCTATTAAATTCGTACCCTACATTTGCTACACACTTCATTTATGGAAAAAAAATATTTTCCAGGATATCATTACATTGGGTAGATAAGGAAAATACTCAAATATATTTGATTAAAAGACGACAGCTGAGATCGATGTTTGCAATACTGGCACATTTAACTCAATATTTTTTTAATATAAAGACAAATATATTATTGTCACCTTTCAAGTTTAAAAACTGGCAGCCTTCGTGTAACAAGAATTCAAGTGATAACAAATTTACCAGTTTCAAAAAATGGGGCTGGTGTGAAAATGTAAATTGTCTTAATCTTTCACAAAGGTTGTTTGCTGAGCTAGCTGGTGTACTTCTATCAGTTCTTCCCATCCTGGATATCAGATTTAGGTGTGGCTGACTATTTTTGCAATATGGAATGTTCCATATTAACCACATCCTCTCTTAACCATTTATTAAAACTGCAGTAGCCTCAGTACTTTTGGAAGTAGATTTGTTTAGATCCCAAACATTGTCTTCCGGAAAAGAGCATGTGGTCTAAAACAAAGAAAGAAAAAAAAAAGAACTTCCACATTTTCTCAATTACTGAAAAGATTCAGGTTTAAGCCTGCTCGTGCACAATTTTTTTTTTTTAATCACTAAGTGCGTCACAAGACGTGTGGTGGCTTGTGTTTTGTGCTTTTTGTATAAATTACTAAATTGTATGGGTGTAAAATACTCTAGGATCATACAAGAATGTAAAATTAAGATAATCTCAGTCCCAGATGACTAATTCACATTAGAGATTTACACTTGGAGACTAATAGCTGGGAGAGGTGCCTGAAGCAATTCATATGCTTGTAGAATACTAACTCTTTACCGCAGATATTTAAGTGTGCACTGAAGTCATTAAATTAACCTCTGTTCAGATCAGTGCTTCTGACTTCTGTTTAGTATAGTCACTACAGTTAATACCCCAGCCAACAACACTGATTAAATCACAAACATTATGCTAATACACTCAAACATTACTATGATGAAAAGCACTTCAAGTCAAAAATGCTAAAGGGTAACACTATTTCCTACAAAGTGAAAAATGAGCAAATTTATTCAGCTAAACCCAAAACTTTTCTTATTCAGCTACAATGAGAATACTTTGAATTGACCTTGTTTCTTATACAGTACCTTTGCATTGCATATAAATAGTTTTAAGTTTATTTCCCTATCTTTATTTGAGAAGTACAGGAATATTAAGTTATACTTTAGATATAATCCTTTTTTAGTACATGCTAACTAATATACATAAGTTGTTTCACATTAAATTGGAGAAACATCTCCAGAAAGGGTAGTCAATCTCCTATAAATTACAATCGTAAAAAAAGTGTATTATTTACTTATTTTTAATACACGGAAAAGCAAATATCTACGCAAAAAGAAAAGAAAAAGAAAAGAAATGTAGGATATTTTTTTCCCATAGTAATATACATATAGCAGGATTTACCAGGATTTACAAGAGATTACAGGCATATTGTTTGCACCCCAGTTTTTAATATTGAGTGATCTGATGTTTCGGTGAACTTTCAAACGCAGATGTGTATCCTAGGCAAAAACTTTGAAAAATAAGGAAACAAATTAAAATCCACAAATCTGAAATAAATTAAAGTAAACGTGCAACATTTCTTTCATACTTTATAAAGTCAGTAACTCACAGGGGTTAATGTTAGCTGTTAAACACACCTGTGTGACTGATTTAGAATTAAACTAATCCCTTATAACAAGGTGGACTAGTCCATCAGCTCCAAACACCTCACGTCTGTGGTCACAAACTGCATAGACAACATATTGCAAGAACAGCCATACTTCGTGAAGACTATGCCATTGCCTGAAGACTATAGGCAAAGAATGGAGTATATGAGAAGAATATTCAATGAAAATAACTTTCTGCTCATGCTGGTTGGATACAGGGGTCTATATACAGTACCACTCCTATTGTACATGTACAAACACAGTAGAATTAAACCAAACTACTGGACGAATGCAGAGTAAAATTATCATTAGTCAAAGACTCACCCTTATCCTCCTCATGGCAGCTACGATTTCCACACGACTGTTGGGTCTCGGTACATCCAAACTCCCCACATACTGCAAACAGGACAACACATGGATTATTGCACAGAACACACATTTTACTTTTAAATAATACGCTTGCTCTCCTAGAATGCATGATAACAATCGTTACAGAAAATGGTGACCAACTTTCCTCTAAAGGAGTACTGCTGACAAGATGAACATTGGCACAGTCCCTTAAGGGTAAATACAGCAAATAAGGTGCTTTATGAAAGGGATTAGGTGAATTTAGCAATTCATTCACTGGTGGTGATCTCCTTGTCATGAGACTACTTCCATTTTCTTTCTTTCTGCTAAACAGCACCCTCATCCTTTCATTTTCTAACCTCTTTATCCAATACATCCACAGCCCGTCCCAGTGGGCACCAGGCAGGATACACCCTGGATGGGATGCAAGTCCACTGCAGGGCACACACTCATTCCAAGCTGATTTTCCATCCATCCATCCATCCATCCATTTTCTAACCACTTCGTCCAATTCAGGATCATGGGGGAAGCGAAGACTATCCCAGCAAGCAAGAGACAGGGTACACCCTGGACAGTACACCAGTCCTTCACAGGTCACAGACAAAGACACAAACACACACACACACCTGGGCTAATTGTCCCAAAAGCCAAATATCTTACCAGTATTTCTTTCTCTGTGGGCAGTAACTGGAGCCCTAAATGAAACCCAAACAAACACGGCGAGAATATACAAAATTCACGCAGATAAATCCACAGGAGTGAAACCCACCCAGGACCCCCAGAACTGCAAGGCAGCAATGCTAACCACTGCCCCCATTGTGCCACCCCCCAACCTAGTTGATGTTTGTTTTAATTAGAACTTACTTATGTCTATCTTTTGAAAAAATGTTTAAGTGTGAGCTACTATTTTTGTTTCCGTGGTTAGTGGTGGCGGTAGCCACCTGACCCTGTCAACATCCCGGCTGAAGCCGTCTTGGGATTCACTGCAGAGCGCTTGCTCCACTTTTCCTCTGCCACAGATCTTAGTACCGTTCCAACCAAGGAACTGCAGAACAGCCCCACTACTGTCTCCTGAACAGGTTGTTTTTAATGTGGAAATGTCACTAGTCTAGCGAAACTATTTAACAATGTGAGCAAAAGTAAAGAAAATTACATACTTATAAAAGTGGAAGAGCGATATAAACCTTCTTAGCTGCTGCTTTAGTGAGGGGAGGTTGGGTATTTTACTAGTTTAATTGTGCTGTATAAAAAAGCTGTATATCCCACATATAAGTACTGTAAATGCTTGCGAGCTGTAATATCTAGGGACAAGTCTACAAAATTATACAAATTCTCGTATCAAGAAATTTAGATACAAGTTACAACGCAAAATTCCTAATCTGAGTCGATTCCCCACACCTTTACATACGTTTCGAAGTATTTTTTTTTTTAGGAATGTCACTCTTGTAACGAGATAACATCCAAAACCCAGATGTCAGAAAAAGGCTGCTGATCATAGTTTTTAATATAAAGAAGTCAACGTTGGGCAACATCAAATGCTGCTTTTTCAGAAAACACCAACATTACGGTGTTTACGTATGGGACCAAAACCAGTCCAATCTTCAAATCGAGAGGCTGTATCTTTAGAATTATTTTACAAAAATAAGCATATCACTGAAAACGAAGTCAAACTGTTGTTCTTTTGGTATTAAAGCCAAAAGACTGCACCCCTTTCTCAGAAGTCTTAATTTCAGTGTTGTTTGGCAGAGAGCTTGTACGGGCTACAGCAACAAAATTTAGTTTCACCTCTTTGACATTGAACGACGAGGAAGAATATGTCGATTTTCTACTTGAATTCCAAAATGTATAATGCTGCTTTTCTACCACCTTTAATCAGGGGGACTATTTTAACGGTTATTTTAAAAATAGTACCACTGGCACTTGTTGTGGAGAATTGTATTCAGATGCGCACCTGTTAAGTTTTAAAAAAAAATACCTGTGGATGTCTCCGTTCTTGGATTGCAATATTAAAACAGGACACGAGCAAACGCATAAACCAGATGTCGGAACACCCTCAGATAAGTAAAAGCACAGACACACCACAAACATGTGAAACTCAAGTCAGACGGGCATGAAAGAAACCGTGACCGCGGATCGTTGTCTACGGACCAGTGAGAAATCGCGCCTTCAAATAAAATGCGGCCACGCCAGCATACAGCACTGCTCGTGTCTTTACCATTCACATCCAAAAGTTGTGAAAGGAAATCATCTCACCTTTGCCTGGAAATTAATCCCATGTTGATACGCCTCCTCGTTGTGCAATGGGACCCTGGAATCCGCGACATCATCAACCAGGTTGTATCTGTTCCGTACTGGCATTGCAGCTGGGATCTTCACAGTTGTTTACGCCGACGACTGTAACACAGTATTCCAAACCAAATATTAGGAGGAAAATCCCCTCCTGTCTAAAAGATTCAAGGTGTAAGACTGAGAAAGAGCCCAGGCGTGGTTTCCCATTCCGAACACAATGCAGGAGGTTCGAGCACGACACGTTATAACCGAACGACAAAAAGATTGGTTTGGGCGCCTTTTATCCCCGCAGTATCAAGAGTCCTTTGTACTGCTGTTGCTGGTACAGTAGGTGTTGCTCTGCAACGTCCACGTTGTATTTCTAACTATGGTGCCGCGGATTCAAAATAACAGAGTAGAACATCTGCTTTTTTTAGCCAGAAAAAAAAAAAGATTCCCCCTCCCCTTCGGTTGTCCTAGCTTGCCATCACCTCCTGCCTGGTAGCAATGCAATGTGTTTTTGAATGTGATCGCGCAGATCATTAGTGCCGGAGTCTCTCCTAGAGCTTCTCCCGATTGGAGCAAAGTTACATCACATGATGGAAAAGACAGAAAACCTCAGTGAAGTCTATTCAAAGGTCTCCGGTAGCCTATTCATTTCCAACAGGTTATTGTACAATTCCCAGTAGGCGTGTACTACTAGAAGTAGATCACTATCAGACTTCATAAATCAAGTCCCCTTTTCTCCCTCTAAGGGACAGAAATGATACTAGCATACACTGCTTTTTGCCTGCTGCTAACACATTTGAACTGCTCAATGTCTTTTATCGGTAACCACGCTTTCAATTTCACCTTACAATCTTGTAACCGCTTCATAAAACTGCTTTCATGCGTCATAAAAGATAGCTGTGAACGCGTGGTTGTTATAAAGTGCAGGTTGTTAACAAGTATCAATACTTAACCATTTTCTTGCATCCAGTTGTAATGGGAAAACATCGGGACTGTTCATTATTGTTGTAGTTGGCCGGAAAATTTAATGTGATAACTCGAGGATTCTTTTTTTTTTCTTCGTAAAAGCAGTGCTTTTATATCAATATCAAAAGGCTACAAATAATGAATTTGAAATTCACTCCATTTCAGCTGATGATTGTTCGCTGCCTGCTTCTCGAAAACTACGATAACGAGCGTGCAGTAGTTTTAGAAAAAGGTTTCTTTAGTCAAATTCACATGGAACAACAAATTTAATTTTGTGAAGTGCCTGTATGCTTTCTGTTGCACAATCTGTTTTTCCACTTACGTGGTTTTCTGAAGAAGATTCTGTCATGGAGATGACGGCAGAAAAACGCGAATCATAAACCTAAATCTCACCTTAATTCCTATCTCGCTTGTGGTGTTTTCCACATCATAACGAAAACGTCTATTATATTGGCGTAACTCTGTGTTGTGTTGAACGATTACACTTCAACTTTATGCTATGACCTGTCAGACCAGGGGTACGAACATTCCGCTAGAGTAAAAAGTTGTAAAAAATATTTTTTATTTATTAATTTATTTTTTCTTGAGGAAGTTTGTTTCCAACCTAACAGTTTTAAATGAATGCAAAGAAACACGCCTTAGGCGAATATCATATCAGTTTATCACATCTCTGACACGGTTTTATTCTTGTCTTAAGGCAGTATACATGATAAAGAGCTCCACCTGTAGGTGAAATTGCAGTTGCAGTTGCAGTAGGTTACCGTTCTGTAGTTAACACTATACACGATGTTCAATGAAAACTGCTCCATTTTCAGATATTTAAAAAATATCGTAATGAGAGAACCGAAGGGGCGTTGAGGGCGCACTGCGTTTTGTGGAACAGTGAGCAGAAAGATAATAGCACTATAAAATAATACCTCAGGGCTAAATAATCAGATATGAGAGGCAGTTAAGGAACCTACTATACAATATACAGTATCTATATACTGTAAATACAGGGTTTTCTTTTATAGTCTGGTGAACATAAGCATTTAAAACCCCATATGGAGCTCCAACTAAAGTTCACCTAAGCTGTCCTAAATAGTAGTGTGATCATTCCTGACGTCAATTCCTAAATATTAAAAACAAAAATATAATTACGTATAAATACTATTCGTAAGATCCTCCTCCTTCGCAGCTACCCTGCTCCAGTCCTCGCTTTTCCTGGGGGTCCCCGGTTTATCATCTTTCGGCCAGAGGGTTAGCCCTTAGACTTAACCACATTTTCTGACTGGAATTTTGGGGTGTTGATATTCCTCATGAAATTTACTTCTAAGAACAACTGAATGGGAAACTGTATTTCGGAAAGGTGTTACTTTATGTCTCCAAACCCTAACGCTATTATAAAGTGTAGATAGAAAGACTTTCATCATTCAGCTTTATTGGGGGTGGGAATGCTGTCGTGACTGTGCACGGATTGTGGTCACTGGAGTTCACTGGCTCGGTGATGAACATAAGTAACAGTATGTTACCTGATCTGAAGTAATTTGATTTTGTACCTGTAGGGTATCTGAATCACGTTCTGTAAAGACGCATTACAGGCAAATCTGCGGCGATTGATGAACAAGAAGCTTTATTCACTATCACCCAATAGCTTATTGATGCTATTGCAGAAATCACCGAGTTTGAAGATTGAGAAGGATATATGCAAAATCTTCCGGGAAAGCACAGAAAATGTATTTGTTTAATAATAACTTACACGATAATTTAATGTCTTACTGTTATTCAAATAGTACATCCATATAAAAGGGGTGGATTAATAAAAGAAAGTGACACAGTACATTTCAAGTATGTGAAAAGCAGAAAAGAAAGACAAAGGTGAAATAATACCCTGAATTACTTACGCTTTAAATTGAAAGCATGAATATTTGTCAGAGGCAGAAACTGCTGATAGGAATGATTGGTATTACCGATACCTGGGCAAAAATGGAAGTTGAGAATGAATCTAATAGGAATGTTGTTAAATTCCCAACAAATACTGTGCGAATCTGACCTCCCTGAGCCGGCTTTTCATCACCTCTACAACAGACCTGGAGTGGGTTCACGCTGGGGTTAATGAGAAACACATCCTCGATTAAACCATAGGCATGGTGCATACGCCATCTGCTGTCGACGGCTGTACATGCACAACCGTCCATTCTTTCGGTCATTTATTAAAACCTCTTCTTTCATGGTCACCCTAATTGTTTTTTATTGAAAAATAACTTTAAATAAAAAAACGTAAAAAATAAAATACAGCTCTGCGTTCTTCAGAAAGTTAAAATACTGTCCTTAAAACAAGCAATAGTGGTGTAATATGAATATTTGATGGACAGTATTTTTGGTCCAAATACATTTAATCAAATGTTTAGATCAGTGTCTCCGAGTTTGAAGAACCGTCTTCCCTCTGAAATTGGTCCTGCCTTTCAATCCAGTTGAACTCTTGTCACTTGCGGAATAGTAATCGCCTTCCTTCGCCTGCCTCACACCAGTTAGACAGTCTGTACCTCCGAGGCTTCCGTCCGGTTGCGTTGTCAACGGGACCAAAACACAACTCGAACAATATGTTTCTCACAGCAGTAGGATCAGCTGGGTTGTGCTGGGACTTGCACGGGTCTTAAAGAGCCGAAACAGAAATCTTCCGATTCAACCAACCATGATCAAAAATAGGAAAAAAGAACATAAGCAGCTGTTATAATCCGCATACGGTTACGAATTTAGTAAGTAGTTTGACAGCGCATTAACTGACCTACAAAGTGCTTTGCCGGGAGCTGTTGTAAATATGAGATTGCACTTCATGAGCAGAACAGTGAGTTAGTCTGCATCACTGACTATGCATGATGAGTACTTTTAAATGCAAAATGGCTTGAGTTTAGAATTTTAATGGTGGAAGAAACTGGCATATCCGAGGCTTGTATGTTTTTTGGGGGGAATACGTTGTAATGCACAAATGTTCGCACTGTACAAGTAGTTGAGTTTAGACAACAAAAAGGAAGACAGTCTGTAAATGGTGGCCGTATGCATTTGAAAATTTCAAAAGTAGATCGCTCTTTTGGGTCGACATTGTAGTTCAATCCAAAACACTTGGAACAGACCGTTGCTCCAGTAGATCCGTCACATAATCATCACTGTTCACCTCAAGAATGAGCGATCATTATGTTAAAGTCAGAGTGCAGCTGGAGCAGATGAGAGTGGCCGGCTTGGAGACCGAGCCAGAGGCAGCTTCTTTGCTGGCATCTTCGCCGGGATCTGTCGATTTAGTTAGCGGTGGGAGGAGGGATGCCGCTAGGAGCGCCGTTAGGACTAGAGCCAGGAGTAAAAGCAGGGGCAAACGGTCTGAACTCGATAGGAATACCGCAGGTGCCGACAATAAAGAGGACACCCCGGAGCCGGAGTATCCGCCGGGGCCAATGGACGGCACTGCGGGCCAGCTGCAGCACTCCCGCAGCCCCAAAGACGCGGTGTTGCAGATTAAAGGCACCGGCAAGATCCCGCAAGGGAAAGCCGAAGCGAACGGCAAAACGGAGAAAGAGGGCAAAACCCAGCAAGGGAAAGACGATGGCAACAAACTCCCCAAAAAGAGGAAGATGGTCACCGTGGATACCTCTAAAGCGAAGACCTCTCTTGAAGCGCTAAAAGTCAGCATCAAGCAGCTCAAGTGGAAAGAGGTATGCTATTGCAGAGACGATGCAACCTTTTTTTGGGGGGGGAAGAGTTTTTACCGATTCTGTACGGTACTGATGACTGTGAATTCACCGGTGCCACCCCGCCCGTCATGGTGTGTCATGGCTGACAACGCTTATACCCCCCTTCACATGGGAGTTCCCACCCAAAGAGAGAACCCTTTAACGTGCGGTGGGAAGTGATTTAGGAAGTTATCAGAGGGAAGGTTAAATAAGTAAGAAGTGCTGTTTTAAATGAAAATGCTTCTCACAGTGGGGCTTATCAGAGTACTTATCGTTTACTTCTTAGAATCTCTTAAAAGCGTTATCTTTACGGATAGTGTTTGCACTTGAGTGTGTGCTGTGTATGTCGCCTTAAAAGGAGAAAATGGAAGTTAGTTTAATAACAAGTGGTTTAGGTCTGTGGCCTGTACTATAAAATCATTAAGGTAATAAATAAAACTAGGTTTTAGTCTCAGAAGACAGTGTTAGAAGGAGAAAGTAATTAGAACTTTCTATTATACCCTATAATCTTTTTCTAGCCTCTTTTTATGTTATTAAATATAAATTGCCATATATAATATATTTAAGAGAGCTGGTGCTTTTAGAAATGCATTACATGTCATATGACATGGAGGATAGACATACAATTCATATCACGTGAGTCTCCAGCTCAGGACCCTGAATCAGGAGTCTAATTCCATTTTCTAAGTTGGACATTCTTGTAATGTGTTCACAGTGGTAACAGATCGCCATGGGTCATGCTGAAGGTTCAGTAGTCTTTCTGTGGCTCAGATTGCAGAGAATTAAGTTATTATCATGACGTGGTCACGCTAAAGATTACAAATAATAAGAGGCTATTCAGCACATATTGAAACTTTCAATTGCCAGCATATTCATAGCTTGAGGAACAATGTTAGTTTGGAACTCCATCACCACTGTCTATTGACAATTGACAGATACTAAAAAGCCAAAGACTGACATAGATATACATACTATAGTCATTGTCCTTAATAAAGAAGCAGCAGAGCATTTATCATGAAACTTGAAACTACATGATGCATGGCGAATAGATTTGGTTACATTGGCTCAGTCTTAAAACCTATCTTAAATTGATTGCTGCACATAATAATTTATAAAGTAGTTCATTGACACCGTCTTTGCCTTTTTGAGTTTGGCTGAGGGGCCATTTCATAAAGCAAAAAAACAACAACAAACAGTATAACTAAACTAGATCGGTCATGAACTTTAAATTAGTCCTGCTATAGGGTAGTGTTACTTTTGGATTGGTGTAAAACACTTTTTAAGATACTTTAGGAATGTAAGTCTTGCTATTGAACCTTGTATATGGTATATACAGTATTCGTATTAAAGAAAACCTTTTTCAAGGCTGTGCAGCCAGTGTGACAAGGCAACACAAGGAAAATGATGATTCGTAAAGTAGAAATATCTTGATTATTTTTTTTAATTCATCTACAGAAATTGCTCTCTCATTGAATAATTGATATTTAACCTTTGACATCTCCAGTTATGAGTGTGGTTAAAAATTAATGGTATTGCAGAGAACTGAAATGTCTGAAGCATCAAGTGACCTCAAAATGGAGACCGATATTTCTTCACAAAGTATCTGTAACATAAACCTTTTTAGGGTGCTCTGGATCCGGTTTCTTAATTCTTAGAGTTAAGGTGATCTATTCTATTTTTATAACCTTCAAGGAAAAAAAGTGAGTACACCATCTTTAAAGTCGTTGTCCCACTGGTGTATTTTCTTTCGTTGTCTCTAAGTGCTGTTGCCTTTATGGATAAGCCTACTCTCTTAAATGCAGTTTCCAAACTGGTTTTAATGAAGACATTGTGAGTTTTTTTCTGCACATTCCAATTCTTCGTTTCATATCAATGCCTCTTGACAGAAGTTTTTTTTCCCAAACTTTACAGGTTCTGATTAGCTCAAAACCGTAAAACCGTTAGTAAAACCGTAACAAAGATGGAAATACAGTGTTACATTATTGGAGGACATTAATTGAGAACAAATATTGCAGCTTTAATTTTTTAAATACTTATCGCATTAAGACCTAACAGATATCCTCTCTGTTAAGTAGCAAGAGTACAAAGTGAAGGAAATGTGGAATGTGACTTCACAGAAATATCTGTGCTTCTCATAATATAAAATATACTATGCATAGAACTGAGACTAATGTCAGAACAAATATTAGTGCTATACCATTCAAATCCTGTGCTTACCCCCTCCAAAACATCACATCAATGACATAATACTGATTTTGAAATATACATCAGAAAAGGCTTAAAAGGTTTACTAAAGTTGCATACCTATAATATTTGTTGATGCTTTAAAGATGCAAGTTTTATATTTAGGAAAACAATACCTGTTCATGTATTAATTCTTGTCTTCTCAAATGCAGTTTAGAAATCAGGCTGGGAGACCTTAAAACAGCCCCTGCTCTTCAAAGCAATTTAGTAATCAAGTATGTTTTTCCCTGAAGATGATTATACAAAAGATTTTGATTTTAAAAAAACAAATTGACAAATAATTCTAAGTAATGTTCACTGAACCAGTTTATTTTTGGCCTGCTGCCAGGCTGGGAAAAACTTTTTTTTCTTTAAGGGCTCTGAATTTTCATTCTATACACATCGCCACCCACACTGAGAACAGCCGGCTAAAAATCTAAGCAATCCTGTGTATTCTTTCCTTCAAAGGAAATATAAATGCCAATAGAATTGTATCATACTACACTTTTTTATGCAGTTCATGTTTAAGTTTTAACTGCAGTAGAAAAGGGTTATGCCCATCTGTTCGCTGACTGTTGGCATATGTTGTCTTCACAAAAGGAAATGGTTAAGCATAATCTGGAGATAATCCAGTGTTTTGGCCTGACAGTTGAGGGTAAGGAGGACAATTAGTGTGTGAAAATAAAGAAGTCACGCACCGTAATGGGTTTATTTCACTTCTTTTGTTTGTATTGCAAACTAGCTTTTCTTCACTTGGATAAGAAAAAAGGATTTTTTTTTTTAGTCATGCCTCACGCAGAATGTGATTTACTAAGAGATGATGTAGCAGTTAACAATGGTCTCATACTACTCTTGGGTCATGGGTTCAATTCCAGACGGGAGATTCCTTCTGTACGAATTTCCTGCCTGCCTTTTCCCAGGATTCTCCAGTTTCCTCCCACCTTGCAAATACATCCTGGCTAGATTAATTGGTGTCCCTAAATTATTCCGTGTGTTGAGTGTGTGCAATGGCCTGGCACCCTGTTGAGGCTATAGTCGCAACCTGAACCTTATACTTCTGTTTTAGACCCCTGATCTTCACTCTTTCCTTTACCAGGAATAACTTACATTTAGATTCTGGATAGATGAATGGGTTCCTCCTGCAGAGTACTGAAGTCACGATGTAAAGATTTTTCTTCCGAATAACAAAAACAGACAAAATCTCTGTCAAGAAACAAGTAGAAAAGCAGAAAATGAACCTACAGTATATTGTGGACTGGCATTTGATGTTATAGTTTATCGTTTAGGGAGTATAACATATTCAGACTTGTATTCTCCTCTACTGTAAAATGTGGAGATTTCTTCAAGAAAAGATCCTAACATCACTTAGCCACTGGTGATAAAGCTAAATGAACCAAAAAGCCTTTTCCCCATACAGTACTGTAGGTAACCTTTCATATGCTCTTAAAGAAAAAGCCATATTAAAAAGACATGCCATGTTATGCAAAATGCCCCAAGTATACCAAACTAAAACTGAGTGTCTGTTAGAAGACCAAGGGCATAGTCAATTCACTGCTTAATAGCACACTCTACACAGAATATATAACAAACCTTATTGAACAGGACAAGATACTTGAGGGCAAATCCACTTTTACATTGAGAACTGGAAAAGTACCCATTTATACAGCAAGGGACTTTTTGCTGGAGCGATCTGAGTGAAGTACCTTGCTCAAGGGTACCACAGGAGCATCCTATTGTGTAGGATTAGAATCTACTGTACACCCTTACAGTTAACAGTCCAGAGTCTTAAAAATTCTTACATGCGTCTCTCTTATTTATGTAGGTGACACCTTTGCCAGAGGCAACCTCCAGTTACAAAATACAGAATTGAAAGCAAATTATAAAAAAAAACTGTAGTCTAGAAACGTACATTTTGAAGAGTTGTTTCAACAAAGCATTTTGAATACGTTATAATTCAAGGGCGTACACAGTTAGTCAAACTTGTATGTCAAATGATATGAGGGAATACAATTTAATTGTATACGAATTCTTAATGTAGTAAAATGTGAAATTAAAAGTGGAGATCTTCTCTTTCATTGATGTTTAGCCAAGTGTGAATTAACTCTATTAGCATGGACGGAGTAATTACAGGATTAGCAGGAAGGTTGTAGGATTTACCGATGCTGTTTGAACAGGATCAGTTAGAAAAAGGGCAGATAAAAGGCTATCTTAATGTGCCTCAGTATTGGCTTCAGTTGTAGGGGTACATGGGTGAACAGGACGACAGGCCTGAATATAGGATAGTGAAGTGAAGGAGGTGAAGATTGAATAGGCACAGGAGACAAGATTGTGAAGATCAGTACATAAATAGGGCGGTGGCTCTGTGGCTAAGGATCTGCGCCTGTGGCTGGAAGGTTGCCGGTTCAAATCCCACGGCTGGCAAAAAAATCCTACTCCGCTGGGCCCCTGAGCAAGGCCCTTAACCCCAACTGCTCCAGGGGTGCCGTATAAATGGCTGACCCTGCGCTCTGACCCCAAGCTTCTCTCCCTGTCTGTGTGTCTCATGGAGAGCAAGTTGGGGTATGTGAAAAGACAAATTCCTCATGCAAGAAATTGTATATGGCCAATAAAGTGATCTTATCTTATGTTATAAATGAGAAAATTTATAAGCAGAGACAGGGGATTAAACATTGGAGTGCCGAGGTCTGAAAAAATGCTATGTAAGATTAAGGATCTTTGATCGAGTGTTGTCAGTGGCAAGAAGCCAGTGAAGAGTTGTTGTCATCAAAGCATGATTACTGTGGTAATATGATGTGCATGACTATACCAGACCTGAACACCGAGAATGTCTGGTTGCATTCACAAAGAGATGAAGAGGAGAATGAATGCAGCCCCTCAGAGCTCCCAGCTGCAGTTGTTCAGATGCCAATATTGTAAACAACCTTATAAAATACTTTATACTTGACAAAGTACCCCCTGCAACTGTACACTTGTGCAAAAGCCAATTATGAGTCTTCCTAGATCTCTTTATTTAATGTATAAGATCATATTTATTTAGGTTTTTTTTGTGAGAAGATCTGTCTCTGTGTTTGAGTGCTTGTGCTTTTTGAAAGGTCAGGCTTCAAAGTCAATCTTGAAGTCGGCATTATTGCCAGGAGCGTTGTTTTTCCTCTGACAGGACCAGAGCAAATCATTGAGAATGCTTAGACGGAAGAAGGGGTTTATGAAATAAGGTGGGTAAGATATGAGAATTCTCCAAAAGCAATTAGATGCCCTTTTCATGATATGCTGTATCCCTGATGGTGAGGAGTGTTTGTAAGTATACGGAAATGTGAGCCTGTGTGTTATCTTGGTTCTTCCACTCCCATCATCCTGCCTCTTTATTTGTAACCTTGTTTGTTCATGTGAAAAGAGAATATGTTACACGCATTATGTTCAAAACCACTTTACGTAGAAATAGTTTTGCCATTGAGTCACTTTAAAGAGAAGCACCATTTTCCCAAATGATTTCTAAATTGCTCCATTTTTGTCTCTTTAGGGGCACAATTGCACAGATTTTAGATTGTTAAAGACAGCTGTTTCACTTATTAAAAGCACAATGGTGATCTAAGTTGAAAACACTGACCTCATAAGTTATTTTATTTTTGTGGAACATTCTTAGAACTTTTTGTAAGCAAAATCACGGGTCTGCACTAGACCTTAAACCTTACTGCTTTATTTTTGGGGGTAATATTCATCAGTTGTCAGAAAATGGGACCATTGTTTGATTATTTTCTTTACGAATGGCAGCAATAAGGCATAATACAATATTGAGGCTATTTACGTTAAAATATCTTGCAAAAAGATGGCTTTTCAGCTCCATAACTTTATTACAGGTGGCATTCTTTTTTGAAAAATAGTTTGTCTTGCAAAAATGCACTTTGTTCTTTTCTCAGTTTCCCCTGGGTCGTCGTGTGGCCTGCGATATATATTGGCATGGGGTATCCTTTCATGACAATGAAAACGTCTTCTCAGGCCTGGTCAACAAATTCCCAGGTAAGAACATAAAACCTTGTAAAAGGCCTTGTAAAAACATAAAAGAGTATAAGAAAAGGTAGCAAACAGGAAGAGGCCATTCAACCCATTTAGTCCATCTGGTACTTAGTAGTTAGTTATTAACTCAAAAGAAGCCATGGTATGGGTATATGACTGGGAAGCTTGTTCCATACTCCTACAGCCCTTTGAGTAAAGAAGTGCATCTTGTACTCAGTTTTAAATGCACTTCAACATAGTGCCAGTTCCAGCAAAACTCTTACACTGATCAGGGTATATAAACTAATTTGATAAAGGCAGTTAAATCTTGCTTATGTGTTTTTACTTGTCTTCAGAAGTTGAATCGTTGTCCAGTGTGTGCAAAACACACGGAAGAAAATGTGTATTTTAGGACACATAAATCTCAGGGTTCCAAGACATTGACATGTTGGTGCTGAAGGGATAAGATAAATAAACAGGAAAAAGAATAAAAAAGTCACAGGGTTATGACTTTAAATTCAGTTAAAAGAAAGTATGCCGTGGTGCCTCAGAAGTACTTTATTTTGTTTTGTTTTGGATTAGAAAAAAACCGTTAAGTCAGCAAAGTACCTTACGAGAATCTATAAGTGCTTTGCATTTTTAAGCAGACCAGTTGTCGGCACCAATAAAGATCTTGCCCTTGAAATGGAAGAAGGGCCCTGCTTAGGGGGATAGAAAAAACTGGTTTATGAAGTCACAGTGATGTGGAAAAAAAAAATCCTCTTGGAATTTTACAGATTGCTGCTGTGTTTTGCCTCAGACAAATAATGTGAAGCTTCCTAAGACCTTTATTTTTAGATCTTAAGACACCATGCTGGCCTTAAATTGTTCTTCTGTTTTAACAAGTTAAATAACTGTTTTCCCCCATAGTTTTAAAAAGGTATAGCTTACATTCCATTCTTCAGTTTGGAAAGCTAAAGACGTCATGCTTTTTCTTCTACAACAAAGAACTAAAGTTTTATAGGACATTATGTCACATTAACACATTAACAGCTAAAATATAGTGCATCCTCATGTATGTGTCTTTTGTGGTGGATGCTGATGATCTTTGTGTACTTTGCTTAGAAAATAATATGAATACTCTGTGCTTTTCTGTATTTTTTCTAGTAGCAAATATGTTGGATACAGTTATATATAAATTATATGTAACATAAAAGTATATATAATACATCTATATAAGACAGAAATAATGTAGCTAAGACCCATAACAGAACTAAAATGTCCCTATTTGTTTGTTTGTTTGTTTGTTTGTTCTGGTGCATCATGTACACAATGTGTGTCGTCCCACAAAAGGTTGTGATTTATACTAACGGTGGAGGAGTACTGTGATAATAATTGAAAATTGGGCTGTTTTGTTAGTGGGCGCCTTGCAATGTGTCAGGACAAAAGTATTGTCGTCCTTCGTTTGTTTGTAACAGTTTGTTAAATAATAAATAACTTTTGGAGTATATCACGTGCGTCCAGTTGACCCTATTTTTAAATTGCATTTTCTTTCGACAGTAGCTTCACGACAGTTATGTTACTTTGTTCTCGGCTTCCATCCAGTTTATTTTGTCTATAAATTAGTATCTATTAAACTATACCCAAGCAACAGCAGTATCTTTTCAAACAATCTGAAGATTGATCCTCTGAAGCAGTAGGGGTTTGGGGTGAATTAGATCGATCCATTTGTCAGTGCTGATAAGCCAGGTGGTGGGCACTCCTGTTCCTGCAGGCCCTGTGTGTCCGCAGATGTTCAGTCCAACCAATCAGCTCATTATTGCCTTAATTGGACCATCATAGCAGCTTCTTTTAACTCTTCAGGAGCAGATGCTTTGAAGAGAGCTAGAAAACCCAGACACACTAAACCTAAAGACGGATTGTCCAACTCTTATGTAAACTGACATATACATAGACAGCTACTGTGGCACCCTGTATTTGAAAAAAAAATTAAATATTATCACACTAAGCTTGTCGGTTATGACTTGGCTATTTTTACACCCTCAGTCTTCCTAGGAAGTGACAGTAACGATTCCAGGTGATATAACTGCATTTTTTGTCCTTTTTTTATTTTAAATGGATCTCTAGGTATGATAGAGATGCTCCGCAAGATAAACCTGAGCCGAGCAGTGCGTACGATGCAGGAGCTGTTTCCCGAGGAGTACAACTTCTACCCTCGCTCGTGGATCTTGCCAGAAGAGTTTCAGCTTTTTGCAGCTCAGGTAGAGTGTTTGGATTTTTTGTCGGCTAGACGGAGGCCCGTGTTAGAAAAGAAAACAGAACTGGAAACGGGGGGGGGGTAAAATCTTCCTAGCCCTGTTGTCAGTGGTTTGTGTTTTTCACATTTTTTTAATGCTAAAGCTTACAAAAGCCATAAAAAATGAACTGATGTGACAGACACCAACCATGTTATTAAATGAGGCTTTGTGCTTGGCTCCTAATTGTAATTCACTATGGCACTCGATCATATCAATAGATAACCTTTACAGTTTCCATCTGTCACCACAAATGACCTTTAAATAAAGACGAGACCTTTCTGAGGGACTTGAGTTTTTCAGCTGAAGACAACAGATCAAAGCAATGACACAGCAAAGTCTGATTTAACTGGAAATTCAGAGATCTTGAGTAGTCTGCTTTCAGCTTTATTAATGTCTCACATTTGTAAGGTTTTAGTCCTTGTACTACCAGTAGATGGAACTTGTTTACAAGCTGCACTGAGTATCGTTCAAAGCATATTCCTTATAACATTTAGTTTGGCCACATGATGGAGCAATTATTATTTTTCTCTTTTTAAAAATGTATTCTTTTTAACCAGTATTCAACAGGCTTTGTGGTTATAATGCTAATACATCAAAACCCAGCATTCCTCTGATTCATTTACAGGGATGTGTGAAACAGATTATATACAGTACTTTATATATAAATTTGAAAAAACAAAGAGTATAGAAAATTGAGTAGTTAAAAAATTGTAGGTAAATTCATTGCCAATCAATCAATATAGCTGTGCTGTGAATAAAGATGTCTAAAGAAGGTGGTTTGATACAGAGAGTTAATGCAAGTAAAAACTTTGAGTGTATCTATAAATCATAAACAATGTGAAGGAAAACTAATGATGTTAAAAAGAAGAATAAGATACAGAAGAATGTCTGAAGGATTTCCAAGACAGAAGGTGGCACCAGAGGTCTAAGAAATGGATGAGTCAAAGTCAGTGAAATCTAGTGATTGCTGGGTGCCAGCATGATGTGTTAAATACCTCAGTAGGTGTACATAGTGAAGAACAGAATGGCGATGAAATCACAAGTTAAAAAAATTGTCAATTAAAATGAGCAGTTTTGAATTTTCTCCTGTATATGTTATCTCCTGTGTTGCCTCTTTTGTAGTTATTTCGGTTATTTAAGATTGTGATAAAAAAACAACCATCGTGCTCCATCTGGAAAAAAAAAAGGCATTAACATTATTGGCTCTTTTTGGGTGTTTGAGGTTCATGATTATGGACATTTCTGGGAGCTCTCCTTGTGCCTTTTTATGACATGTGTCAGCAAGATCTTATGGCAGTTTAATCTATCTGTGCTGAGTGCTTAATGAGAGCCAGTCTTGTGTGATTGAGGCTGTGGTTTTGAGGAAATGCTGTACATACTGTATATGCAGTGCACAGTATACTGCATATATCCTTGATCCGTGTTAAACTCATTTAGTTAAAAACACTGAGGATGGGATTTTAAACTTCACTGAACTGTTCTTGCAAAAGAAGCTTATCTGGTACAGCAGAAAGTGAAATTTGGCATTACAATGTGTTGTCAGATCTTAACCCAAATAGGCTCATGTAAAGAGTTGGGTAGATGCATACGTGTCAGTATCAGCAACTGCCAAATACTGTCCCTGCTTTGGATTAGGAGGAGGATCCCTGTCATTTGACCAAAATGTCTCTGCCAGTCTGTGTCTTTCTGTTCAAGCATTTGTATTTGAGCTTATAGAGAATATGCCAGTTATCGATTGCTTATATAGGAGTATTTGATGTGAATGCACCATGTGACTAATATCACATATGGCATCCTGGCTTTTTTACCAGAAACTTGTTTACGGAGGATGAAATGGTGTGACAGTCAAAATTTGCATAAGAGACATAGCATTATCCCTGTATCAACTGTTTTTCAATTTCCAGGGTTGTGTTCCACGAATGTTTCAGCAAAAGTCATTTAAAGTATAGAACTTGACAAAAATGGAGATTGTTGGTTTGAAAATGTAATAAATAAAAGAATATACATGTAGTTTTACCTAGTTCTTCAACCTAAACCTGTTGGTGATATAATCTGATACAACACTAAGTACTGGTTAGCTAATGCTGTAAATGTACAGCTCACATTGTAATGATATTGTAGAGCAATACAAAAGTATTAAGTAAAGACTGAATCAATATTTTTTCTGGGGAAAGTGAATGCAAAATAATTACAGAGGGTAAGGCGTAATGAGAGGGTAAGCAAAAGAAGTCTCTCATGTGAAAGGATGTTGTAATTATTTGTACTCTAGATGGCAGTGAATGAAAGAAAACTTTTTTGGTGCTCTTTTTTTACTAAAAGAATCAAGTCCGTTTTTCTATTGTTTTTGCAGAAATAGTAACAGCTGACATTCAATGATTGAACATCATTGTGCTAGGTCATATGTATGTGGGTGGTGCATACTAAGACGGAGCGGTGACACTTTGGCTAAGGATCTGCGCCTGTGGCGCCTGAAGGTATCCCGTATCCCATGGCCCATGGCCGACAGAGGAATCCGTTAGGCCCCTGAGCAAGGCCCTTAGCCCCAAACACTGTCAGCTCCAGGGGCGCCGTATAAATGGCTGACCCTGCGCTCTGACCCCCAGCTTGTCTCCCTGTCTATGTGTCTCATGGAGAGCAAGTTGTGGTATGCGAAAAGATGAATTCCTAATGCAAGAAAGTGTATATGGCCAATAGTGATCTTGTCTTAAAAGTTACAAATTCTCTCATTCACATTAGTATTTACTAATAGGGCCTAAGATGTAATATTTAATATGTAATATAAAATTAAAACTGTAGGGTTCACTTCTGTTTTTTAGGCTTTTTAAATTACTATATAAATCTTGGGTGGCTTAGTGACACCTTTTCCAGTCTTACTTTATTTTGATGAACATAAATGAACATAAGGATACAGTTATATATAAATTATATTAACATAATATTCTACCTCTTACCCAGTTAGAAATGTGCTGTGCGTATGTGCTTATGTGCTGCAAAATAAGGACATCTCCTGAAAATGTTAACGCATTCTAGAAGCCCTTGTAACCTCCCATACAGTATTTGTATATACAGTACCATGTGAACAGTATTGTGTTGTTGTGTATAATTGTTAAATGTTGATCTTTACGGTTGACTGCACTTTGGATTGATGTGGGTTAAACGATTGTCAAAATCTTCCATCATTGATTTATTGATTTGTTTATTATATAGTACTTTGCACAATGGTAATTGTATCAGTATATAATGATGTATAATACATATTTAATATATTTTATTCAACTTTAAATGCTTGGCAACTACTTAAGAGCATCAAAATCTTGATTAAACTACTGTATGTGCTGTTTAACCTTGATGTTATGTAAATATCAGGCATTCCTCATATTAATATTGCCTAGATCTTCGGTAATCCTCAGTTTGTATTGATGCTTCTGCACACTCACATTATATTAAAATAGGAATACATTTACAGATCACTTTTAAATTAAACAATTGAAACGAGAAGTTGTTGTACTTTGTCGAGAACTTGAAAGTCATTGTTCATTGACACCAAATATTTAAATTAAAATTAAAATTTAAATTACAAGACCCTACTAGTACTTATTTGCATCTGTTTATGATTGTATTTGTATATTGTGGATATACCTCATCATTGGAGTCCCATCTCTCCTGTAAGCCTGTAAGATTTGAGTTAATCCACCCAACCCAGGTAGAGTATTATTGGTGTGCTATGTATATAACAAGCCCTGTGATTTTCTGTGTGGCTGTAAGCTTGCAGCATTGTCAGTTTGAACCTCTTTGTTTCTCCAGTAACAATGCAGTATCTCCTAAAACACTATGGGACTTTGCAGCAAGAAAGCTTCAACATTAGTATGAGAAGAATAGAAGATCACATGGTCCGTTCTCCCTGTGTTGGAGCAGTCCAAGCTGAGCCAATTAGCTACGTGCTGTTCCAAATGCCATGCTTGCATTATCATTATGCCACTGATCTTGGTGTTGTGGCAAGCTGTAGCCTGTCCAAGAAGTATGTTTGTGCAAGGCGGAAATAAGAAGACATGTTTTCCTCCTGGGTTGCTCATCAGACAGGGACAGCTTAGAATAGACAGTCAAAGGTAGATGAAATGTCTTTACGAGCGCAAACCAGAACACCCAGCAAAATATGCCAGCAGCCGTATCACCCTGTAACTCACAACTGGCAACCCACTGAAGCTCAGCAGGTGTGAGCCTGGTCAGTACCTGGATGGGAGACCTCCTGAGAAAAACTAAAGTTGCTGCTGGAAGCTCAACCTGCGGTCCATGTGGGTCCTAATGCCCCAGAATGGTGACGGGGACACTATACTGTAAACAGGCGCTGTCCTTCGGATGAGACGTAAAACCGAGGTCCTGACCCTCTGTGGTCGTTAAAAATCCCAGGGAGTTTCTCAAAAAGAGTAGGGGTGTAACCCTGGCATCCTGACCAAATTTCCCATTGGCCCTTACCAATCATGGAGGCCATAATAATCCCTATCTATGAATTGGTTTCATTACTCTGCTCTCCTCCCCATTACCTGTAAAGCGCTTTGAGTGGAGTGTCCAGAAGAGCGCTATATAAGTGTAAGCAATTATTATTATAAAATTATTTCCTCCATTCAGTCTCAGATAGAAGCTTAAATCCATCTCTAGACCCTGGAGCTGTTAGTGTGGCAGTGCTCACCACCACTTAGCTATGCCCCCCAGTTCCAGTTTCGGAGGGCATAAAAGGGAAACAATGCTCACTTTGCAAAACAATTTGAAGAATCAAGTCTGTTTTTCTATCTTATACATGGCACAATGCTAGTAGATGATATGATACCTAAAGGAGAAACCACAGGGAATTTAAAAACACCTTGTTTTTACTGATCTGTACTTTGCTACTGCTTGGTGCCATGATTGTGGTAAATAAACTGCAGAAGTTCATTCAATAGGGTATCAAAAGTAAATTCTCTGCAGGATGTTCTTAAATTAAACCAGGACCACCACGCTTCTGTCTCCTGCCACTAGCTGGGTGTCACTCAGCACATTTTTCAGTCAATCTAAGTCCTTGCTTGCAGAGGTAAGGCCATTGAAAGTAATGAAAAAGGATCATCAAGATTCCAGTAATTTACTTTTAAATACACTTCAGCCCTGAGAAAATCCTCTGTAGAGCTGAACATACATAAAGCTAATAAACATTGGCAGCACCTCCATTGGGAGGTTTTGTGTTGCAAGCATCTGAGCACATGTCACACTAGTAGGAAGTGCGCTTTTCAGAATATGACAGCTTGAAACCCTGGAATGGGAGTTCAGAAGCTCTGCGCATTCCAACAAGGCAATATGCATCATTTAAAGAGGTTAAAGCCGAGCCTCCTCTGTGGAATTGCTAACATTAGTTACACTAGAATTTATTCAAGGCTCAGACCTTACTGAATTCATTAACTCGCATGTTTTAAAATCATAGTGATATTAGGTACTGATATTGTAATCAAACCTCGTCATTCCCTCTCTTTCTAATCAGACCAAATGATTACTTAAGTAGCCAGCTCTTATTTTAATAGAACATTTATTGGTTTATATAATCTCTCTTTAAAGCATCCGATTCTCAGATTCTTCTATTTATATTTCTTGATTTATAGGCTTTATCTTAAGTTTCTACTTTACAAATTTCTCTCTTTGCTCCAAGTCAGTTATTTGGCAGAGATTTCTAGCCTTGGGGTTGAGAGTAAGCAAACGAACAGGAAATTTCTCAAGAACACCTAAGAGGCTCAGTTATTTTTTTGTTAGCAATGGAAACTTTAGTCCGTCTGCGAGCTGAATTCACATCTTTATCAGTGATCGAAAATCTAGGAAGGGATTTAAGTTTTATTAGTTGATCACAATCCATGGTAAGAACATTACCTTTAGCTCAGATATAAAAAAAAATTCGACTTTATCCATTCCATAACCCATTTCCAGCTGCTTTGCCCTGTAATGTGAAGCAAGGACATGTACCCACTGGCTATAGACAGATTTTTACAGAAACACACAGCTATACACTGTGCAGTTCTGTAAAAATCACTTTCATAACATTAACAGCAGACAATTAACTTAAACAGCTGTGAAAACACAGATAAGAATGTAGGCTTTGCGTATTCATTATTCTTCCCAATGTACGTTTCTGGCATTTTAGTACTCTGTTTAAAAAGATCTTTTAGCTATATTGACACATGTATGAAACAAAGGTATACTGCCAGCACACTCTGTTCCTGTCAGTGTGACCTCTTCTCATTCCTTAGTCTTCTTGTGCATAATCTTTTTCCTTTAAAAGATATTCAAAAGATGGATCTGTGCTCTATGCGTTTTGATAATTGTATGACCTTACAGAATGAACATTCTCCCATATATCTTGAAACATCTTAGCGAATTAATATTTTAAGCAGAACATCCAACTAAATAGAGAAAGTGAAGAGAAGAAAATATAAAATATATTTCTTTTAGAATGTGAAACCAAAAAACTACAAGCAGTATGCTTCCAAGCAATATCTGTTACCATTAAATACTGCAATAAAGTGATGTGGCTTTAAGGTTATTGTGGATTAAATTTGAACAGCAAAGTATGTGTTATGTGTCATTTAACACGTACCTGTGATGTTACCTACAGTGCCAGTTTTGGAAATTATCTGTTCCACAGTGTTGAAGTTTAAGTAGTTCAAATGTTGATACTATAATAGTGAAGATGACCAGTCATGGTAGCCATTAGTTTCCATTTGGTTTGTGCTGCAATCGCAAAACTTGCTAACTTGGTTGATACCATAACTTCGGATTTTTAATAGATTTATCTTCCTGGTATACCAATGAGGCACTGGCTTTATTAGATGATTTTCACGAAGGGTATACAGAGCCAGCCCTGGATACAGAGGAGGCTGTAGCGATTTATAATTCCAACAACATACTGAAGAAATACAAAGTACTGTACAAAGTTGCTCTGCTACCTTCAGCTATTCCCATATTGGACAAAATTGAAAAATTGAAAAAGAAGAACAATCACTTTTGTGCTTGTACACTAGGAAGCCTAATTAAAGAAAAATGAACTAGGTGAGAGCAATGTCTGACTTGCATAACATAAGGCATTTCTTCATAATATATTAGAAACAAAGTTGTTTAGACCATGCACACTGCGTGTTCAATTTCACTAGACAAAGGGTTAAATATTTAACTTACTGTGAATATGTAGAAGTGAAGGCTTTCTAAATTCACCATCGTGACAAAATAGGTCTTCATATCCCTTCTGTGGCTGGAAGCCATTATTTGCCTACTGTGCAAGGGGAACAATTTATCCAATCAGCCTGATTGTTAACAGTCCTCTTGCTTGGTCATTGAAATCATTTTTCTGAATGAGGATAATTTTGGATGCTGCCACTGGGTTCCAGAATGGTTCTAATTTATGGTAAGTGCCCCGGCTGTGTCAGGCTGTATTTCCTAGCTTAATTCCTGTTGTTGCCACGCAGGTCCGCATTGCTAAAGACAAGGACCCTTCCTGGAAACCGACCTTCATTGTGAAACCTGACGGCGGATCCCAGGGTGATGGCATCTACCTCATTCGTGATCCCGGTGATGTCCGCGTCATGGGCAACGCCCAGAGCAAGCACGCTGTGGTCCAGGAATACATCCAGAAGCCACTGCTCGTCGACAAACTCAAATTTGACATCAGATTGTATGTCCTGGTAAGGTCTCTGGACCCATTGGAGATTTACATCGCCAAAGAGGGGCTATCCAGGTTTTGCACAGAGCCTTACCAGGAGCCCAACCAAAAAAACCTGGACCATGTCTTCATGCACTTGACAAATTATTCCTTAAATGTCCACAGCGGGAACTTTGTTCATTCAGACAACACCAACACAGGAAGCAAGAGAACATTCTCCAGCATTCTGTACCGCCTAGCCTCCAAAGGTGTGGACATCAAGAAAGTATGGTCAGACATTATCTCCTTGGTCATTAAGACTGTAATTGCACTGGTGCCTGAGCTTAAGGTCTATTATCAGGCTGATATTCCTGCCGGGAAGCCAGGACCAACATGCTTTCAGGTGAGACTGTCAATAATCTATAATAACTACCCTAGATTCATTCTTCAGAAAGTGTCAAAAAGTGAAATAGGCTTCAGAATAAGACAGTAGTTTAGCTCGTTGAAATAATGTGCTTCATGTTCCCTGGCTCTCTTTTAAAGGATTCAGCAGAAACCAAGGCCTCCACAAGGTTAAATATATAATTTTAGAATTATTGCATCCAAAAGAGATGCTTTTTTGTAAATGTTAAAACTGAACATATTCTCAGTCTCTTATTGGCTTTTAAAGAGGCCCTTGGTTATCTCATGTTTTTAATGGGCTCCTGAATGTGTGTCATGAAGCACGATAATGAAGAATTGAAACCAACCAGCAACTGTGAATACGTTTTTAGTAATTTGACCACTTTATATCATCCAGAACTGAATGCATGTTCATAAATGGTTATTTTTATCTCTGTGCAGATTTTAGGGTTTGACATTCTGCTCATGAAAAACCTGAAGCCCATTTTACTGGAGGTTAATGCTAATCCTAGTATGAGAATCGAACACGAACAAGAGGTAAGAAAATGTCATTCTTTCCATTGAAGGAGAAAAAGCAAACTTCAGTTTTATTCCAACTGATATTTTATCTTCGGCTCCTGACATGGCACATTAAGTAATGAAGTGAAAGAATAAGAAAGCAAGATGGTGATTTTAAGGTATTTAGTATAATTAATATCTAATTTTAGATATAAATCATCTTGTTTTCATTGTGTCTCATTCATATTTCTTGGAAGCAGTTAGTCTCCAAGTTTTTTATAGGACCTTTTTTCCTGTAGAAGTGGCATTTGACTGAATGAATGAATGTTAGAACAGAAACATGGTTAAGTTAAACGCTGCTTGGCCTTCCCAGTGTTCAGTAAAAACAAGTAGTTCTGAGGGCTGAGAGAGGATTTTGATTTTCAGGTGTCCCCGGGTGTGTTTGAGTATGTTCCCAGCCCAGTGGATGAAGAAGTGAAAGTTGGGGTCATCCGGGACACATTGCGCTTGGTGGACCCAGGACAGAGGAAGCTCACCAATCACCAGTAAGTTCAGCTCAGAGCTCATCTGTTGAATTTGCGCCACCTGCACCAAAGGCATGAGTCTAAAATTACTCTCTCCTTCTCTAGATAATATATTGAAAAAATTCAATCTTTTATCTAACAAACATTTGCAAATTAGATATCTAGATGCACATGAACAAAACGTTCACCAAAGGTGCATTTAAGACAATTTTAGAAACTCTTACTGGGGCAACTGGGCAGCTCAGTAGACAACCCCATTGTAATCATGGTTTGGAAAGAACGCACTGGGTGGGCCTCTTCAGACACATGCTTCATTGCAGAATGAAAGGATTTTATGAGGGGCATCACAGTTACAGTAATGTACTGTATTGTGATCGCAAGGCTGTAGCCTAAGGTTCTTCTGCTGGTGGATTCGGTGACAACGTAGAGTATTTCAAAACATATCAGGCGCAAGTTGGAAAACTAATAAATCTTAAGGTAGTTTTGTGTGGCCTTGGTATTTGCTTTTCTACATCATTTGTCTTTGTGATTAAATATGACTGTGCTGTATGTCTCAAAGCTGTATAATTGCAATTTATGTGGTTGCAACAATTTAAGGGGTTTGCAACAGTGACTTTTGGGATCTGTTTCATTTAACCACAAAATTAATTAACTGAGTAACATAAGCTCATCCTCCCTCCTCGTTAGTTTAATAGGTCAGATGCTGTGCTGAACTGAGAGTTTCATACTGAAGAAATCACCCAGAGGCCACGGCAGAAAGACTGTTAAGTGGTGATACTCTGAAAATGCACAGGGATGAGCAAACTGCAGTGATGATCAAACAGGGACTTTGACTACAGCTGTTCTGATTTGATTTCATGAGCATATGTGAATATCAAAGCTACATCCATCCATTTTCAAACCCCGTTATCCAATACAAGGTTGCAGGCAAAGCTGCATTTAAATACTATAAATACCGGGTTATGGTTCAGTATATGTGATCATTCCTAGGAGGTTTCAAGTATTCACATTTGTTCTTGTACATTCAGTTGACAAAATATTAGGAACCCCCCCCTGAAAAGGGTCAGGTGTTGGGTCTGTGCAACCAGCATGACCACACTGAACAGGACATGGCATATACAAAACCACAAGGTTTTGAAACATGTGCTGCCACTTCTCATGCCATATCCCTAGGAGGAC